TACTCATTTCATAAGATTAGCCCCTGAGCCCCATATTAAGTTTAAGAAGCATGCATCTGAACCCTAAAGTTGGATATAACTGAACCTTCCATGTTTAGGTGGACCATTCTTTTACTATTATTATTATTTTCTAGAGGCGAGATCTCGCTATGATGCCCAGGCTGGTCTTGAACTCCTGGGCTCAAGCAGTCCTCCCAACTTGACCTCTCAAAGTGCTGAGATTACAAGCATGAGCCACTGTGCTAGGCCTAGGCGAACCATTTAAAGACAACACTTAGCCGGGCTCGGTGGCTCAGCCTGTAATCCCGTGCCTTTGGGAGGCTGAGGTGAGTGGATTGCCTGAGCCCACGGGTTCGAGACCCGCCTGGGCAACTTGACAAGACCTCATCTCTACAATAAATCAAAAGTCAGCCAGGTGTGGTAGCATGTGCCTGTAATTCCAGCTACTTGGAAGGCTTAGGCGGAAAGATTGCCGGAGCCCAGCAGTCGAGGCTGCAGTGGCCGGGAGCAACCACTGCACTCCAGTCTGGGCGACAGAGTGAGACTCCAACTCAAAAAAAAAATTAATCATAAATAAATAAAGACAACACTTATATACCTAAATTCTAATGCAACACAGTAAATATAAAGCAAGTAAGTAAAGTAAACATAAAACCAAATTAGGTTTGCTTATTGTAGGATTGTTTTACTATTGACAAGGCAGGGTGAGGAGAGGTAATCCAGATATCTTCAGTTTGTCACAACCAGGCTTCTAAGCACTTATAATATCAAAAACAACAGATTCATAAGATAATGTGAAAATAAATTTATTTTAATTCAGCACTTGCCTGATATTATTCTTTTTTTTTTTTTTTTTTGAGTTGGAGTCTCTGTCGCCCAGACTGGAGTGCAGTGGCTGCTCCCCACCGCGGCCTCAACCTGCTGGGCTCCGGTGATCCTTCCGCCTCAGCCTTCCAAGTAGCTGGAACTACAGGCGCGCGCTACCACACCCGGCTAATTTTTTTTTTTTTGATTTATTGTAGAGATGAGGTCTCGCCAAATTGCCCAGGCGGGTCTCGAACCTACGGGCTCAGGCAATCCACTCACCTCAGCCTCCCAAAGGCGCGGGATTACAGGCTGAGCCAACGAGCCCAGTCTGATATTATTCTAACGAGGAGCTAAATACACCAAAATTTAAAAACCACCTTCTTAAAAGTTCAAACGGCAAATATTTTCTACAAAGCAGTTTTCTATTCTATATGTGAAACCTTTGTTATGACTCACGAAAAATTAAATATGCAAAACTCTAAGCTGAGCTTAGTTTTGCCTGTGCACAGAGACCTTTTTACTCTCATTCTTCGAAAACCTCATTTTGGATCTTGCTGCCAACACCAGAGAGGAAAGCCGGCCAACAATTCCAAATATAACATGCGGAGGCAAATGCTACAGAAATCTGTCTGACGGGAAGGGACCATGCTGAGGTCTGCTGAGGTAGATGCACTTCTCAATCAGATGGTTTTGGTCCCTCAGTCTGTTTGGAGCAAAACGCCATAAGAAAGCAATCAGAGGAAACCAGTTTTGTCCTCCTCATTACTGATGCCCTATGGTATTCACTCTAACAGTGACAATAATCCTACCCAGCTCAAACAGAAAGAACAGTCAGTGGCAACCAAAGCTCCACCAGTTACTCTGATTTTTAACAGATTTTTAGGGATCTGTCCATGGAGACCAGAATTTTCAGAAAGCTCAACTTACAGCATGACATTTATGATAAAGGTAAGGTTTACTAGGGTACACTTAAAAACATATCTCTTTCCAATTCTCTAGGGGCAGGTTTAGTAATCCCCACTGTCACTCTGAATAATTGATAAACCAGTTAAACTTGGATAAAATGATTATACTGTCACTTAAACAAAAAACAAAGACACCAGCTCCTCAAGTTTAATTCTTCGGTGAGGTCATGGTACTGAGCACAGGACAATTCATTCCCTCACCCAGAAGGTCATTACAGAAAACCTAGAAATAGGGCTCCCAGTCTAATTGGGAAGAGATGATGTGCCTCATACAGAGCATTGGCTCCTGAGAAAACATAGAACAATTAAAACAGCTTATCCGACCAGTCATTTCCTCTAGTCGTTTATCTCAGAAAAATTCCCTGTGGTTTATGGCTATGCCATTAAGCCCGAGAGGTAGTTTACCTAGAATTAATTCTGGAACATTTTAACAGATCCTGTTCATTGTGAGGCAGACTGGCAAGGCACACCAGAGATTGAAAAAGGACTCATCTCACAGAGCTTTGAATGAAGATCCTCAGCAGCACCACAATTATAACCTACAGTGCTTCCAAATTTCAACTTCACTAAGTGTAGGGTCTGCACATAAGGGAAATTATTACTAGCTTACCTAAATAACTTATTGTTAGCCAGTTAAAGAGAAACAAGAGAAAATCCAGCCATATTGCCTAACCTTACTTCCATATGGTAAGTAGTAACAAAAACACACTCAAGAATCAAAATGTTCTAAGACATTAACTACTTGATCTAACTACTCTAGTTGAGTTGATTAATAAAATACTTCATTCTTGCTGGAAAGAGTGTGGATTAAGGAGGCAGGAAAGTGGTGATAGGCCTCACTTACTGAATGAAACTCATCTAGGGAATTCCTTTTTAAAAAACTTCCTGTCTTTGTACCAGTATCTACAATGTTTTGTGATTTAGATAAAAACTCAGATAAATCAATGGTACACCCAGTACTGACATCTTCAAAGGGAGAATTGAAGATGTAAAACAAACTCTACTTCATTTTCAAATCTCTGATTACCTGTTCCCATTCATTGTCTCAAAAAAAGAAAAAAGTACTCAATGAAATGCAGTCTGGGCAAGCCAGAATCTCACCAACAGCCAGAAGTTCCTCCCTGTCTCCTTCCAGCTGAATTTAGTGGAAACTGTTAATTGTTACAACTTGACAAGATTTTAGATTCACCTAATTAAAAGATTCAGAGGCTAGGTTTCAGAATTTAAAAGCCCAATCTCAGGCAAATGAGACAGCACACTTTTTCCACACCTGAGGTTTCTAATAAACAATTTCAGCTAATACGTGAGATTAAAGATAACAGAATTTATCAAACTCTCACTCAAAATACAAGTTAACAATCATGGTTAACACAAGCTTCATCCTAGGAATAAAACTTTCAAGATCACACTTTAAATCAGAAAGTCTGCAATTCAGTCCTAGTACCAAGCACAATAAAAAGTATAATCAACTAGTAAAAACTGATAAGCAACACAACAAATACAGGTACAAAATTTCTCCTGTGCTTAAGAACAGAAAAGGAAACCTGACCAGCGATATTTTCTCCAGGTGGATTACACCTTAGAAGAAGTAAAGGCTAAAAAAACCACAGCCCTTAGTCACTTCATAATAAAAAATTTAAAGCCAGCAGCAAAACTTCCTCCAGGATAATCCTTTTTGTCCCTGCAACACAACAAGCCAAGATGGGGTGCTCTCTTGGGCAAAAGTATCTTGGGAATGGTAACGGGAGCTTCCTACATAACTTCTGACCACAGACTTAATTTTCCAGTATCAGTCATCTGTCTAACAAGTGTTCCAAAACCTGCAATTAGTACAAACATACAGCAGGCACTATTTCACAAACCGAGAGATGGAATGTGAATGGAACCGTGAAGAGAAGGAAAATTTCAATTTTTTAAAACGGGGTCAAAAAAGGCAACACCAAAAAACTAACTGGTGGGAACAAACAGAACAGTCCCCCGTCTCCTTCATTTCTCCAGCCCGGCTCCTCTTTTCAACGTCTGCCTCAGTCAACTGTTGAACCACAGAACAAGACCCAGTATAACAAGACGAAATCTGGGTTTGCTTAGCAGATGTGGGATTTTTGTGGAGGGCAGAGGTGATTTCTCCCGGGAAAAGCAGGAGTTTAAACTCTTCTTTGCCGGATTGTTCCCGGCTAGCTGCTGAGGAGGATCAAGCAGCGGGCGATCAACCCAGGTCCCTCCCTCTCTCTTCAGTTTCTCCCCTCCCCTCGCGTTCAGCAAGGAAAAAAAAAAAAAAAAAAAACACAAGGCTTTCCAGCTCTCAGCTCCTTAAAAATGCCTTTCCGGAGCCACCGCACACAATCCTGCCCCGGCAGCAAAGAATTTTGCGGAGAAGGGCTCCCCGATCTGGAGCGGAGAAGTGAAATCAGCGCCCAAGGGCAATTTTAATTGTCTAACCCGGCCCGATTTCCTAAGAGGCAGCGGCTCAGGGAGGAGGAGGGAGGAGGGAGGAGGGAGGCAGCTCCGGGAGGCAACAGGGGGCAAGCGGAGGCAGAGAAAGGGGTTCAAAGCGGCGAGATCCCAGCCTGGGCCCCCGAGAAGCTTCTGCAGAAAGGACTCCGGGGCTGCCCCCACTGTTCTCCGGGAGACGTTTGCAAATCATATATGCAGCCAAAATGGCGCTGAGAATAAAAATATAATTTAAAGGCAGGTCGCCATATTGTAAACAGAGAAGCAAAGAAGAGGCGGACTCGAAAGACACCCTCCATGATTTCTTCCACAGCCACAAGCGCCCGGTTGCCGGGGTCTGGACCAGGGTAGCTCCGGCGGCCGAGGGCTCCGCGCACCCACCCCGAGGAGAGCCAGGCCCGGCAGGAGCTCCGAGGGCAACGGGCGCGCGGGCAGGCAAGCGGCACTGGGCCCGGAGCTCCTCCCCTTCCTCCCCCTCCACTGCCGGCCGTACCCGGCTGACTCGGTCCTGACTCCCCAGTGACTTCCAATCCCAGTTGGGGTTCTCCTCATGTCTCCCACCCCACCTCGGGGTCTGGCCCCGCCGCTGCTCCTCCCCCCCAAAACGGCCAGATCCCGACAGATATCTGGGGGCGGGGAGGCGCTCGCCCCAGCGGCTACAGAAAGTCAGCTAGCGGCTGCAAGCGCCCGTTATTTCGGCAGGCAGGGGCAGGTCAGGTGAAGGAATGTGCAGAGAAGGATCCGCCAAGGGGCTCCAAAGGGGTCCCCAGACCTTACCAGCATTGGAGGTGGAAGGCGGCCGGGCAGTGGTCGCAGCACAGGAGGTCTCCACCTTCCTTGCAGCTATCGCAGCTGTCGTGGTTGGTGGCCCTGCCGCTTCTCCGGGGCTCCTTCTCAGGCTTTCGACTCCGCTTTTCTGTCTCGTCCGTCTTGGGGGGAGCCAGCAGAGCTTGGATTTGCTGCACACACATACAAACGGCGTGTGTGCACACTCGGAGCTCCCGGGCGGTCCGTCGCCCCCCCAGCGCGGCTTCTCCGTCACCCACCCCTCTCCCCCCTTTTGTCCTTCTTCCTCCCATCCAGGCTGCTCCCAGAACCTATCAGCCCCCGGAACCAGGGGAAGCCCACCCTAACCGCGTTCCTGCAGCACAACAACGAGAACAGCTTCTTCCAAATGGGGAGGATCAAGGGTAGGGGGATGGGGAGAGGGTGCGCGGTTCCCTTCTCGCCACTTCCTTGTATGGACAGTGGGGGACTCCAAAGCCCGGCTCGGGAAAGGCCTAAAGCCCGGTACCCGGACGTGCCGGGGGAAGCACAAAGGGGCCGACAAGAAGGGGGTGGGGAGGCCCGCCGGTGCAACGAGATGGAGTGGGCTGGCGCCTCGGGAGCGCGAATCGAGGGCGGCGGGTAGGTGAAACTGCTGCAAACGTCCTCGGAGGCTGAGCTCAGCCCCCCGAATTGCAAAGATGGGAGGGAGAGGCTGGGTGAGGAAGAACCCTCCCTCCCCTGGCCCTCTGGGCGCTTCGAGCTTAGGACCGGCTTTGTGGGGCGGAGGGCGGAGGTTCCCTCCCGGCGCTGGGGGAAGGGGATGAGGAGGGCCACTCTTACCTCCATCAGCCCCCCCGACGTGTCCAAGTCGTACACGATCGTCTTGGTCTCCATTTTCTCCCACATTCATCCACCTCCCGGGCTGGGTGCTTTCTGCTCCGGCCCCCCCAACCCCGGGGGGAGGGGGG